ATTTCAGGTCACCCAGTGATACCAGATTATTTTTTAGATGAAGATCTTGATACTCAAGCTATGAAAATGGAAGCCCAGGGTAAGAAATGTATTAAACATGTTGAATTCACTCAATTGAACATAATTTCCAAGGATGAAATTGAAAAATCAAGATTATTGCATCTCTTCTCAAGAATTTGGTCTCGATTTAAACTACTCAGTAAAAGCTTGTTTCTCAGTTGGTATGTGTTATTTTTGAAGGCACTGGGAGAGGCTTCCCCTTATTAGGGTAAGGAAAAGAATTTTGCCTTGCACAGGACCTTCAAACCAATGTGGTACAAAAACAGTAAAGTCATTTAAAAAGGAAAAGTTAAAAGTACTCTTTGAGGGCCTACCTTACAATTTTTTGAGGGTATTATGGTCATCACCAAGTGTTCCTAGAAAAAGATTTTAATATAAAAAGTGTACTTTTCAGAAGTCATATGCAGTCCCTGTTGGTTAATTTGTTCCCTTTTTATATTAAAAAGTTTAGCATCCTTCAATGTCCAAATTAATGTAGGTGTAAACTTCCTTCTTCTGAATTTAAAATCCCATTTGGGAAAATGTTACTGTATATCCCTTCTCTTGGAAAACTGCCATTCTAGTTAATGGAAGATAAAAGTGCCCAAATTCAGCCATGACAATGTGGGCAGGTGTATCGTACAGGAGGAAGAAAGGATGAGACATATCAGTAACTACTTTTGTACTCCAGAACACTATTTGGTTTAGGAGAATGTACTGAACAAGAAGCCTGAGAGAATGTCCTCTTCCACTGTGATAATTGCATGGTTCACAAACCTCTCATTAAGCAAGGACTTGCTTACAACTCACCTTCATGTATCTTCACCTCTAACTAGGGAGCTGAGACATTGACTTAAAAGGTCACCTCTGGCTGAGCTTAGAATAAAACTGATGTCTGTCCTCTAGCAGAATCAAATCTCTGAGAGACTGTGGTGTAAGTCTTTGAAAGATTAACCCAAAACTGCATTTATATATGCTGTGTGCTAAATGTGGTTTCTCTTCTACATCTCCTTTCATGAAGCACCAACACACACGTGACTTGTACAGTCTTTAAAGTTATGATTAGGTATCATTTGTTCTACAGAATGGTCTTGTGATTAATGTTGTGTCCTGGGTCCTAGATGAGATGGGTTCTTTCCCTGGCTCTGTTATAGACAATGTAACTGCGGTTGGTCAAGTCAATTTAAACTACAGGTTTCAGTCTCATATCAATTTTTTTTTAAAAACACAAACATTTTATTATTAACAGCATGTAAGAAGTAATCACTTGCTAGGATATTCTGAGCTATTTTGGTCATTTTACCCACAATTTCAGAACCAATCTTTTAAATGTTTTTTGACAAACTACACAACCTAAGGTTAAAACTCATACACATCTTCTAATCAAAGTTGACAATCAGTGTGGTAGGATAGTGGATCTACTGATATCTTCTAAATAATTAACTCAATAGAAACATGTTGCACACTTTCAAATCATTGATGTGAAATTGTATGAAAGAGGTTATAATCACTTGTGAAAAGACCAGAGGTCAATAACAAATTCAGTTAAATGTCCAACTTTCTCTTTTGTGAATGTGTGTATGCATATTGAAGGAATTGGGAGGTGAATATGAAAGGAACATGACTGACCAAAGAATCACTGCCACTGTTACTTAGCTTTCTTCTGAGTATTATACTCTGACCAACGATGTACTTTTTCCTCACCTCAATTCTAAATTAGCAAAGTCTATGGATTTGAGGAAATCAGTTTGATTAGGGTTACCATACCTCAGGGTTTTCCCTGACTTGTCCTCTTTTTGGATCCTCCAATCTCTCTCCAGGGTGGGTTTTTTAAATTCGATCAAATGTCCCGGATTTCAGCAGCTCAGCTGTCTGGAGGGAGTGGAGGGTGGGAGGGAGAGGGAGGTGCCTGGGCCCCTGAGCAGCAGCAGGGTAGGGGAGGCAGAAGAGATGTTTGCAGGGTCCCAGCACCTGCCAAGTTCAGTTTAGTTTCTTTGCCACAGCAGAGAAGGCACCCCCAGGATCCTAACACCTGCATCTTTTTACCTATTTCTCTTGCAGCAGCATCTGATCACCATGGGGTATGGGACTGCAACTTATGGAGGGGGCTGGGTTGTACACTGCAGCCCACTGTGGGGGAAAAAGATTGCAGGGGTGGGCAGCCAGGAAACAAAGGGAGCAGGGGGCTGCAGCTTGGAGGGGAGGGGCAGGGAGCCAACTGTGGGTCCGGAGTGTGGGGCAGAGCATTGCAAGTTAGGAGTGAGGGACAGCAGCAGGACTGGGAGGGCTGTGGCTTGGGAGTGAGGGACAATGGAATGGGCAGGGCCAGGGCATTGTCATCACTGCCCCTCACAATCGTATACTACCCTCCCCCACACGCGCAACAGGTGTCCTCTTTTTTTGGAACTGGAAATACAGTAAGCCTAGACTTGATCAGCTGCCAGTCTTAACATCTGGAGCAGTGGTGCTGGCCCCAGGGGCTGGATGAGAGGCACAGGGTCAGTCTGCAGAATGCATCCCCTGCAGAGTCAGCAGGTGGGGTTGGGCCATGGATATAAACCCTGTGCTCCAGATCCAGCTGCACATCAGCCCAATCCTGCACACTGAATCCAGCCATGTCCCAGCCTATCACTACACACCCAGATCTGGCTGTGCGTCAGCCTGATCTTAAGTACAGGACTATGTTACCTGGCCCTTGGAGCCTCCTCAGAGGTCTAGAAATTTGGTAGCAGGGGAGTTGCAATTAATACTGCCGCCTTTCCCCACCACCAAATTTCTGGACCTGTAGGGAGCCCCATGGGCTGGATGACATGGCTCTGTGGTCTGGATCTTGCTCGTAGATCAGAGGTTGACTGCCCATGATCTAGAACATTGCTGGTGTTTTAAAATACATTATATATACTTGTCTAAGCAGATTTCTAGAGATAAAGTATAATAAAGCATGTACTTAGCACTTTGTACATTTTTAGGTGCTTCCTCAGGATTCAGAGAGGAGAAGAAAGCAGATGGAGCCAAGCATACAGGACCGGAGGGGAGCCAGATTAGCTTAGAAACAAGTACAGCTAAGCCTTCGGGGTCTGTTGCAGAAACATTTAAAATTATTGAGGGAATAATTAATGAAGATGTTGTAAAATCCACCCAAGGTGTCTTTCTATTTGAGTTATCCGGTAAGGAGGAGGTTCTTTTGTTGAATCCCAATATGCATAAGCTTACAGTAAAATTCATTTTGTGTTTTCATGGCTTATCCAAAGGTGCAGTGAAAAATGATGACTTGTGCTTGACATCTTCCATGTGATGGAGGAGGATGTGGAACTTCTTAGTTTATGCAACACAAAACTGTTTAAAAAAAACTTAGCAGTTTATGAAAACTGCTATCAAAACTGCTATCTTTTTCCACACTGACATGAATGCTCATCTTGCAGACAGTGTGACTCTTACCTAATGTGCTGTAACTTGTTTCCATTGCCTTCTATGTAGGTGAAGAGGGAGGAACTTGGTACATTGATCTTAAAAACAAAGGTGGGAACACAGGGTCTGGAGAGCCTCCTGTGAAAGCTGATGTAATTATGAGCATGTCCAGCAATGACTTTGTGAAAATGTTCACAGGTGGGTAGTAGCTAGAGTTATTTCTGTGATTCACTGATCATTAGAGGTTCCTTTCATTGTAGATACGTGACTAGAAGTCTTTGGGTTTTGGTGGCTAAGTACAATATTACTCCCCAAATCTTTCCTGACCTTTATACTACTGAACTGAGAATATATAAAGGGTGGAACTACCATTATTTTAACATCTACTTACAAGTCTTCCTTTTCCTTCCCAACCCTTTAGATGTTTCAGAAAGAGCCAACTGACCTATTGATCTTTGTTTGTGCCTCTCTTGTTTAAATAATCTCTCTGAATTGTGTACACTTAAGGCTTGCAGAATATACTACATCCAGAAAATACACAAATGATTGCTTGTTCAGATGCGCTTACATCAAGTGTTTCAGCACTTGCCTATAAGTTAGTTTCGTTGATTGAAAACTTGGTTCTGCTGAGCTTTTTTGGAATCATAGGCTGGATGCAGACTTGCAAGCATGTGTGTTTCTGTGGGGACAATGTTGAGCTTGTTTGGAAGAGGAAAAAAATTTAAATGTTAGTTTGATCCTAGCATATCTTCAAAACAGAAGAGAAGTGTAAATGAATCATTTGCAGAGTTGTCCATTATTTAAATAAATCAGTCATAGTTATAAATTCCACCAAAAAAACACTATAGAAATGGGTGGATGAAGGAAAACTCCCCAAAACAAATATTGTTTAAGTGCTCTGCTGAATCAGGTTTTATTAATTTTGCACACGTACTGAACCTGTTGCTAAATTGGCCCCAGAGAGCGGAAAACATTTAATCAAAGAGCAGCATAATTTGACCTTCTTACCATGGCCAAAAATCACCTAGATACATTAAAGGGAGCTCTCAACAGCTTTGGTAGACTTCAGTTTTTGTAAATGTTGTTATTGATGTGTAGGGAGAGGGGGGATGTTTTTGTGGAGAGAGGATTTGCATACGTTTTTCATGCTGATATTTTTATTCCCTTCTTTGTAGGCAAGTTAAAGCCAACCATGGCTTTTATGTCAGGAAAACTGAAGATTAAAGGAAACATGTCATTAGCACTAAGATTGGAAAAATTGGTGTCCCAGCTTGGCTCCAAACTGTGAGGAGAAAGCCTTATTGTATAGAACATCGGCCTTTTAAATAAAAATGGCAACACTGTTTAAAATATGTAATTCTTGCTTTTTTCTGCTATAATATGAAAAATGTGGATTTGGCCTGATGAAACATGGAATTATTTGAGGGAGAATAACTTGATGATATAATTAGGGCAACAGATCTATCATGTGTTTTCAAAATTCCCCTAGTCAATGCAGTCCTGCAGCCAGTCTGGAGATTGCGGTTCCTCTCTCTTCTCTCTCTTGGACTTAAGCTTCTCTTCCATACCTTGATCAGTAGACTTCTAAAGAGGCCTTGGAGATTTTCTTCAAAGCCAGTTGATCATATTCAAGCAATAAAGAATGGAAGTCGCACTGAAAGGCCATTAGTTGCTCCCTCTCTTCTCCTTGGGCTGAAGAGACAAAGGATTGAAATTAATTTGCTTTTGTAGTCTTACAAGTCCATGTGATTAGCTTGGCAGTTTTAAATTATCCTTTTTTCTGTACACCCACTATAAAGATCTGAATGGATGACTTGGTCATTTGGGTTTTTTAATGTTTTAAAGAAATATTCTGTCCCAGGCCTTTAACTGTGAAACTTGATTTCTACTAAGGAATTCTTAAATTTGACATAGACGCTTTTGGTAAAATTGTACTCGGCAAAATCCAAAGTATAAACCGTTGTTGCTGGGGATATCAAGTTCTTCCACTTGGACTCATGGGCAAAATCCAGATCCACCTCCAGGGATGAGACAAGTGGCAGTGGCATTTAACCCTATAGCTACCTGAGTCACAGTGTTGGCTCAGGCAGGCAAAGGGGTTAGCATTGCCATCACTTGCCTCACACCTCTGCCAAAACAAGTCCCCACTGTACCCATGATTTCAGTGGCAGGGCAAGCAATGGTGATGTTACTCCTTGCTACTGTCTCAGTTCAGGGAGCCATGGAGATTGCTGCTGCTCGCCCCACTGCCAGAATCCCTGCCTCTTCCCCTTACAGGCTGGATGTCTAGTGCCCCTGGTCTAAATAATTTAGTCAAATACCAATGCTTTTTAAAGGGAATACGTTAAATTTGTCCAATTTTGAGAGTGAAAACTCTTGCTTGGCCAACACTTTAAATGAGTTGTAATAAGCTAATATTTGTATCTGTATACAAACTTGTCTGTAGCAATGAACAGGAAAGGCAGTGGCCTAAGACCCAGGATACCCAGTTTCTATTGTAAGTTCTGCCACTAGCCTGTGAGATGGCTTTGGGTGCGTCATGATAGTACTCTGTGCCTCAGTTTCCCTATCTGTGAAATGGGAATAATGATACTGACCTCCTTTTGTAAAGCACTTTGATTTAATGATGTAAAACAGTTATAACTAGTTTCAAATAAGGAATAGACTTGTCTTTAAATAACTTACTACTATAAAAATATTAAAATTCTGAAGTTCCAGTGAAATTTGTCTTGTTATTGAAATTGTCATCCGTAAAGAGCACTCTGTTTGATATTCTTTGTGTAACATATCCTGAATGAACCCTCATGTTCACACAAACTATTTTTCCAATGATCACATACATGTATGAAGCATGTTTCTAAATCCAGTTGTACAACCCTACAGAAAGTAAGAGCAAGGGTACTTATTTTTTTTTATTACTTGAGCATCAGCATGATTCCTTTAACAGCCCTGCCTGACTCCAGGATTTCTCAAGGACAGCTGACTGGTTAGTTGTATACCTTCCTGTGGAAGAAATCAAACTTCGCGTTGTGGTTGTATCAGAATTGACAGAGCCATCTTGGTTTATTTAGAGCTGTACAAGTGATCACAAGGAGGGTTCTCAAAGGAACTCTGATCTCTATAAGTTTATAAGCATATTTATACTTTAGACAGCGAGAAAAGATGCAGGGTTCAGACACAACCTTGAAGAAACAGGAAGAAGTTGATCATTTGTTTGTCACACGTAGGCAGTTTGCTTATTCAGCAAACACATTGTGTTTTGGGAACAGCTATCAGTTTCTGGTTCCCGGAAAGGAGGAGGTTAACATCTGCACACAGAGATTAATATATCAAGACAAAACAAGGCATGAAGGTTTTTCCTTATCTTAGAACATTTTGAAAACATAGCATCAGCATCTTTTTCTCTTCTCTTTCTCTCTCTCTGTCTCTCTTCTTTGTCAAGTAAGAGACCTGATTAAACTTATTTCCGCATTCCCCCCTTTTGGGCCTTTTTTTGGCCCAACATGTTAGATATTTATAGCCATGAGCCTTTTAACTTCTAATTTTTCTTTCTCTTTACCTTACGCTATTTTAACATACATATTATACACTTTGTTTCTTTGCACAGAGGTTAACAAGCTATTTTGCATTTGCTTAGCAGCACAACTTAAGCAGCATCGTATTAGCATAAATACTAGGCATACTCCAAAAAAAATAACAAACAGTATGAACAGACCATGAATAACTGTAGAGCCCAAGGAACTAAAAATGGAGCTGAACCAAGAACTTAAATTCCAACTGTCTGACTCGTGCAATTTGGCTGTTTCTTTCTGAATATGTGCAGTCAAAACCTGAATTTCTTCTGAGTTATCGGGAATATAAGTACAACATTCCTTACCTATTAAAGCACAGACTCCTCCTTTACTGGCTAAAGTGAAGTCTAGAGCCATAAGATTTTGCAAAACAATGGTTCACAGCGCTTGGGACAGTTGGTCTAAAGAATCTGCAGTATCATTACTTACTTGTTCTAATATATTAGCTAACAGTCTTATTTCTTTAATGGTCCTGGCCACACCATACATTGGAAACATCATAGCACCAAATCGTTCTTCAGTGATTTCTCTTTTTTTTTGTAACTGCTCTGGAAGGAAGGGAAGACAGATGTCAAATAGCTTGTGTAATATGTCCAATATAACATGATCCTGACCAGTTGCCAGGCAACCAAAAATATGCATGATCTCCGCAAATATAATAAGTTCCATTATATGCCACCCATTTCTTGTTTTGAGCATGAGTACTATTTAAAATGATGGTTGGTGCCTGTGCTGTTAAAAGTTATCTTTCCGTATCCCTTAATTTCAAGGCGCACATTATTGTTCATTGAAGAACAATCAATAGTATAATTACAGGTACTAGTTCCTACCCATCTGGTACCATTATATTTGTAACACAAAAATCCGGGAGCTTTTCTAGCTAACTGGATACGTGCAAATGGAGCAGGATCAGAAGAGGGAGGAAGATGTTGGGAAAAGGCCTGATTTGACCAAAATCCTTAACACCCACTGTAGTTGTGCTGTGGGTCATACATATCACAAAAGCCGGTCCAATTAAGGGATAAAGCAATCATGGGCACCCCTGTCATTGTACTAGGAGGCAAGTGGGAACATACCCAACATTTAGAAAATTTAAATCCTTTGCATATTGATAAGACAGTTGAAGAAAAGTGTTTTGGTGAGCATGCCAGTGTGGGAGTGATCTTTTTGACCTGTTTTGAAGCCTAGTCTGATTTACAAAGTTTCTTTTGACTGGTGAGTCTTTAAGTTCATATAAGATGATCCAATAGGAAAGACTGAGAAGTACCCAGGTCATGACTAACCAACCCCGCCTCCGGAACCAGGAACTAGGTAGAGGCCTTTTTCCTTTCCCGAAGGGCATAGTGGTGTCATTGGGGTACATCTTCGCTCTGTAGTGGCAAATCCTCTTTGCTCTGTAATCGGGACAATGATACCTTGCTTCAAAAGGGCCGTTATAACAGGGTGTATCCCTTCTTCGGCTTCTGGGCATAAAGGGTATTGAGCAACTTTAGGTAACGGCTTAGCTGGATTTAATCTAATTTTTACAGACTGGGCAGTATGGATTTGCCCTACTTCATTAGGATGTTGGGACCAGAGAAACAGAGGGACAGCCTTTATGATTTCCTCTTGTAACACAGAAAGATTAGGGGACTCGGGCTCAGGAGGTGAGCTAGCTAGGGTAGCAAGTACAGCCATTAACACAGGGAACATCTAAATAAACACCATTAGGAGAACAATAAATAGTACAGCCAAATTTACAAAGCAAATCTCTGCCTAACAAATTAACAGGAGAACAAGGACTGAGGAGAAAGGCACCTACCAACTATGAAACTATGTTGATCAGAAACAGGACCAAGAAAAACATGTAAGGGTTGGGAAACAGGATGAGGAACTATCTGATTTGAAATTCCTACAGCGTTTACAACAGCAGAGGAGAGGGGAGTTATAGAAAATTCTTCAGCTCGGAGAGTAGAGCGACTTGTGCTGGTGTCTACTAAACATTTTGTAGGAGTGCCATTTATTAAACCATAAACAAAGGGATCCTCTTGATTAAGTGAGAGAAGCGGGGCTGTGATGATGTTATCATTCCTCAGGCTGTCCTAACAGGAGGCTCCTTGATTCGGGATGGAGAATTGAGTGAGAGGAGGTGGTGGTGGGTCAAATGTCATCCCCGGCCGGCCAGGCTGGTAAGGACATTGAGCCTTCCAGTGTCCTGGTTGGCCACAATAATGACAACTGTCATTATTTTGGGACTGAAATTCTCCTCGTCCCATCCCACGACCATGTCCCCTGCCTCTGAATTGTCCTCGATGGAAACCTCGGCTTCTACCTCTGTCTAAAGTCTGTATTTGTAAAGACATTAGCTTAGTTTCCATGGATTCCTTTTTCTTTTCTTGGCAAACTGTACAATGATTAGCAATGGTGACTAGTTCTGTAAGCGTCTTAGTTAGCCAACCTACAACAATTGTATACAGCTGTTCCTGGACTTTAGAAAGAAGACCTTGGACAAAAGCGGCGGCAACTGCTTCTGGGGCAGTTTCAGCTGCATCTTCAATGCCAGAAGTCTTTCAAGTGCAAGTTTCAAGCGATCCATGTAGTCTGCTAGGGATTCTCCTTTATTTTGCTTACAGTTATTTATTTTGGCTCAGTCAGTTTTCCTGGGGCAGATTTTAAGCACGGCCTCAAGAAGGCGTTCTCAGGCACCTACTAAGCGACCTCCCATACAGGGGTCTTGAGGAGGCCAATTAGCCTATTTGATGAGGTGGTTATGGACCTCAGAGGGCAGAACACTTCTCATTAATTGGTTTAAATCCACCCATGTTGGTTCATAACAATTGATTACAGTTCCCAATTCATCTCTAAACTTCTGGGGTTCTTCCCTGATATTGGGGAATTGCTTAACAAGGTTTAGGAGATGTCCAGGGGGCATGGACTGTGACTGTAGTTTCCCCATTTGGACCCTGCCCTGGGGTTGGCGTAAAGGCATAAGATGAGTCTTTTTCACTTTTAAAGGTGGGACTGGACCATATCGGGTGCCGAACCTTAAATAAGAGGAGGTTGAGGCTTCAGGAGACAGATGCCATGTCTCCGGTGGCCGCGGGCATGCCCCGAGGGCAGATGATGGTTGTTGAGTGATGGTTTCCTGATGGGGTGGGCTGATTCTGCAGAAAGTATCTATTTGGTTACTATGAACTTCCTCGGGTTCAAATTGTGCCTGGTATGGGGGTAGCACACTAAAAAAATCAATTATGTCTTCTACAGATTCATTCTCAGTCAATTGTGGATAAAGTTGTGTTGGTGCTGATGGTGCTGTTGATGGGGGATCCCCTATTGGTGCATTTTTCTGTTTTAATGCCTTTATCTGAAATTTTAGTTTTTCTTGGGAGCCCTTAAGGCTCCGAACTTGAGATTCTTGATGTCTTTTGGAAGCTTCTGCATACCAATCAAAAAATGTGTCCCACTGAGTCTGTGGCATTTTACTGCCTCTTGACTCAAGGGCTCCACAAAGATGAATGATTTTACTTAAATCAAATGTTCCCTCCAGGGGAAACTGCAAGCTAGAATCATCTCTGGTATACCAATTCCATTTGTCTAGAAACTTACAACTTTTATGGCCATAGTGTGTGTACATGTACAATGCTGGAGTCCCTTTTGGCGGGGCCGGTATGTCTTTAGTCCCTCTGCTCCCCATGTCTTTAAGCTCAACTCACACAGGTCTTTCACACAGGAGAGGCTTATTGAGGATGTCCGGTCAGGTCGTGAGATTTGCTAGTGGCACAGGAATGCTGTGGCTAGTGTCCAAAGACAAGACTCCGCAGAAACAGCACACAATGCAGTTACTCACTGTTAGACACAGCTCATTCATGAAAGTGGGGGTAGGGAAAATTTGTCACGCAACCCTGATCTCCTTCAGTCCAAGAGTTTCCACCTTGCACCCTTGCTTTCGAAGAGCAGGCAGAACAAGTATGGCGTCCTGGGGGCGGCTGCACAAGGTTTCCACTCCTAGCTTCAGAAAGACCTCATAGTTCTTTACAGAACTTAACTCAATTCACACGGGGAAACACATTCACTGACAACAGCAACACAATTTCAAACTCTTTTCTACTCACAGTTCCTACTTACATAGTGGGTCTGACCATTCTGGCAACAAAAGGGTTGGATAGGGTAAGCCTCAAGCAGCGAACAGGCAGACACACAGGCAGTCTCTCACTGAAAAGACCCAATAGAGATTTCAAAAGGTCACTTACCTTAGTTTGGTGCCGGGGCATCAGTCCATATCTCAACCAATCACTCCAGGCGTCCCTATCAGAGTCACGGCCCCAAATTGAGGAAGAAATAAAACTTCGCGTTGTGGTTGTATCAGAATTGACAGAGCCATCTTGGTTTATTTAAAGCTGTACAAGTGATCACAAGGAGGGTTCTCAAAGGAACTCTGAACTCTATAAGTTTACAAGCGTATTTATACTTTAGACAGCGAGAAAAGATGCAGGGTTCAGACAAAACAACCTTGAAGAAACAGGAAGAAGTTGATCATTCGTTTGTCACACGTAGGCAGTTTGCTTATTCAGCAAACACATTGTGTTTTGGGAACAGCTATCAGTTTCTGGTTCCTGGAAAGGAGGAGGTTAACATCTGCACACAGAGATTAATATATCAAGACAAAACAAGGCATGAAGGTTTTTCCTTATCTTAGAACATTTTGAAAACATAGCATCAGCATCTTTTTCTCTTCTCTTTCTTTCTCTCTGTCTCTCCTCTTATCCAAGTAAGAGACCTGGTTAAACTTATTTCCACATTCCTAAACCCTAGTATCTAACAAGAAGACAAACCTTTTGTTTCTATGCTTTTCTAGCTGGGCCTCTAGTTAATAAATAAGCTTTGTACTAATACTTTACCTGATTTTTGCCTACCTTACTTGTATATTAGGTAACTTAACTCTTGGACAAAATGGCTAGTAGCTAATAACTGCCTAGTATTTATGGCATTGGCATCTGTAGAACACTGTCCAGTTTCCTCCTCTGAAATAGTGATCGTGTTGGAAATGTATGTATCCTTCTTGTTTGCTGTCTTACACAGCTGAAGATAACCTATAAATCTGAAAAGGGGAAACCAAAATTTGCAGGCATATCTTAAAAAGAAGCATTGGCATAAGATGTGTTGATACCACGCAGCCACGCATGCTGTTGCAGTGGCCTCCGTTCACACTGTGTCATCACAGTGCTGCAAACTACGTTGCTAGCCTGCTGGATACAGTGCCATCCAGATTGGTGGGACTTTGTAGTCAAATGCCCAGAATTCCCTTTGATCTAAATCAGTGGTGCCAAGCTCACCTGAGGCCCTGGGACATGGGGCTTCTTGCAAGGCAGATCTGGCCCAGGGCCTGGGGACAGCCACTGTTGTCACTGTGGCAGCAGATCTGGCAATGGGTCCAGACATGATGGGTCTGGAAATGGGGGTGTGCCACAATGGGGCGAGTTTGAGAGCAGCTGCAGCAGTGAGCCTAGCTCACCACCAGTGATCATGGCCAAAGGGCCCTGAATTCTGCAGAAGGTCACACCCTATAACTTATGGTGGTAGCCCAAAGGCCCTATGTTTGAAACACCTGATCTAGATCATAATTCATCTCCCTTTCTCATGCCATTTCTGAACTGCCTGCTGTAAACATATGCGATGTGGAAGACTGCAGTGCCCCTCTCCATTTTCAGGACAAGACATGATCCTGCTCTACTGGAGCAGCATACAGAAGGAGATAGACTTGCCTATGAAGACAGAAGCTTGTTAAACATATTTGCTCAGTTCAGCAATATTTTTATATTTTCATCTAGCAAGCACTGAATAATGGGACATGGCTGCAACAAAAAGTTGTATTGCTGTGGGAAATGGAGGAATGAGATATGGCTATTAAGAGTGTTAAATTAATGTGATACTTTCTTCATTAATTTTTTTTAAATCGGGTTCAATACCAGACAGCACTGCCTTCAGCACCAAATAACATTGAAAAAAACACTGCCTACCTTTTCTAATTGCAGTCAGTTAACTTTCAATGTTTTGGTATCTGCAAGAAAAAGGATTAGTCAACTTCTTGCAAAGGCTGTTTATGTACAAAGAATGAGGTAAATGCAGGTGACCAGCCCACAACATTACTAAATTCCAGGCTTGAAAATAACCACTCATTTTACTTTTTCAGGAAAGGTGTGCCAAAAGTCTCCAGATTTTTTTGCTGTGCAACTTGAGTCCCCTCCAGGTCAAAAGCTTCTTAGAAGTATTATCTATTCAGTTGGTTGCCAGTTAGAAGAAACTGGTATAGGTCTATGGTATACACAGCTTGTTTCAGCTTCAGTCAACTTTATTTAAATTCTGGCTTCATTTCTGTATGTTTTTTTAATAGTTATTTTGACAAAATTATATTCTATTAAATGTTCAATATGCAAATTATGGGCACAGTTTGGACAAAATTGTGTTTGTCTTTATGTGCCCAAACAGCAGCTTTGTAGCTGTTTAAGGTGACCATTTTTGGAAGTTATGCACGGATTGCAATTTTATATTACCCCTGCACTGCGGACACGCAAGCGTGTGTTTGCACACTAAGCATGCACAGTGCTTTAACCACCTCTACCTCACTTTTCATAGGACATAAGAATATATTGAATGGGGCAGGTTAGACAATATACAGTACCCTCTCCAGTATTTCTTCTGAAGCTGACCCCCTGAAGAAGATGTATGGGATGAGGAGGAGGAGGGCAAACCAGAGGATGTTGTGGTTCATTGAGCTGGATCGTGTTCTGGAAAGGCACTGGTTTCTAGCCCGAAGCCTTGCTTCTAGTGGGTGGAAAGTTTTGAGTTGTACTGGAGAGGACACCTAGCTTAAGCCATGACAATTAGAGCACCCTGCTGGGAAATCGGGTATACATTCAAACTCCCCTCTGAAGAGATGGGGCGTAGAACGTAGGTCTCTTGCTTCCGGGGTGAGTGCTCTAGGGCATGTGTAGACGAAATGGGCGGTCTAAATTGAAGCAGTGGGTTTTAAAAAACACCACTTAAATTTAGGTCTGATTAAACCCCTGTGTCAGGCACACACCCTGCTGACTCACTTGCCTCTCCAGTGGGGAGGGGAGAGTGAGTTGCTGGCAGGTGGAGCAGTCCCTGTGCTGCGGGGAGGGAGGTAGCCTGCCTTCCTGGGCTGCTGCCAGGCTGCCTGCAGGGTTTCCTGCAGAGCCCCTGCGTTGCATGGAGCCTGGTGCTTCGCTCCACAGCTGTAGGGGCAGCAAACTAAAACTCCTTGTAGGAGTTTTAGTTTGCTGTGCCCTGAGTCATTTAAGGTGCATGACGCCTCTGAATTTCCTACAGCAGCTAGAATTAATATGCAATATGCTGCCAATGTGTGCAAACACAGACAGCTTTAAAGCAGTGCAAAAGCATTTAGCCCACTTTAAAGTGTCGTGTGCACACACACCTCTAGCCCCTAGGCTACTGGGGTTAAACAATGGGAGGAGTCTCTGCCTGTCCAGCCACATATGTGTTTGGCCACTGCATAGCCTACTGTATGATCAAACTGGCTTTTTAATTATTTGATCACGTGCTGTCTCTTCCATCAGCTGTGTAGAGGCTGAGGCAGTTACCTTATAAGACCTCTGCCTCATTTTTCATAGGACATGAGTGTATTGAATGAGGCAAGAGATTTGGGGAAGAGAAAAGATTGGCCCCTGCCCCCAGAAGCGGGGAGTGGTAGAACCGAACGCCTCAAGAAACATCTGGAAGAATTTTCTGACCATGATTGGAAGATGGCATTATTTTCCTAGCCTCAGAAGTGTTCTTGCTGAAACTCCCCTCCTGGCCCCTCCCAAACAAACAGCCTCAGGCAGATGCCCAGCTTGGAAATTTTCAATCCAAATGCTTAAGACTGTCAAAGTTGTAAGCAATTGAAATATGGTCCTTGTAATGTTATGGGTCAGGCAGTGCTACCTGCTCAGTCTGGAGCAAAATGTTGAATTTAAAATGTGTTTTGATTTTTTTTTTCTTTTTTTTTTTTTTGGTACGGCAATCATAAATAAATCCTGTTAGTTCCTTTACCACGGTTGGAGAATAGCCATCATGAAGCATTTTCGTTTAGTCTCACATTTCTCTCACTTTTCCAGTAGTCCTCCTTAAGCCTTAAAAAGTGAGAATGAATGCCTTTATTTTCACATAAAGTGTGAAATGAACCTCTTCAGAGAGATCATTTCCACTTCAAGCCCTGGGTAGATTTTCATGAAAAAGCCTCTTGTAACTTTCTTAGGCATGTGGTGTCTGTGTACGCTGAACCTTTCTTGTTTTTTTCTTAGAGAGACTTAGCTATGACCTTTCAAGCTATGGCCTTGTATTCAAAAGCTTGCCTAACTTTATCCCAATCATGCTGCTGGTCTAAAAAAGATACCACCCACAAAAAATTATTGCAGAGTCACTTAGGTCCATTTATTCTGGAGTCACCAGTCTTCAGGGACTTGTTTACACACACACCGGCTCTCTCCCTGCCTCCTAGGGCCCATCTGTGCTGCAGCAGCTGTGGAGCTGGAGGAGAAAAGGACTGGGCACTCTCTACTCCAGGGGTAGGCAACCCCCAGCACAGGTGCCAGAGTGTGGCACACAAAGGCATTTTGGTTGGCACGTGTGCCTCGGAGCAGACAGCAGGGAAGGGGCCGGGGCTGTGCTGCCATAACAAGGATTGGGCCACTCATGGCTCCCCCACTGTCTGCCCCAGCACACCAACATCTTACAAGTCAAGGTTGTGGGTGCTTTTAGCACTCTGCCCCAAAATGTTGTTGACCCCTGCTCTACTCCAAATCCATGGAGGTGCTCCAGAGTTGGAAGTTCAATGAAGAAGCTGCCTTGGACTTGTCCCCAGTGTTTGTTTTTAGGGTCGCTGGAGACCAGGGGCTTGAAAACAGGTGCCTGGAGCAGCCTCATGGGTGCATTTCTAGCTTTGAAATGTGTCAACGGGTTTGACTAGGCAGGGCCCACTCAGTCATCCTCAGGACCTACTAGGGACATGGCACAGACCCCCAGAACAATGGCTCTCAATGTTTTTAGGCTCGAGGCACCACATAGAAAATGGCAGCTCTTAGCTTTCACTCATTTTTTAACCACAAAAAATAATAGGGCAATCCTGTTGCAAAGAACTCAGAAAGCCCACAGCAAATCAGAAAGTTGTTGGGTTTTTTTAATGGATGGCCTCCTCTTTGAAATCTCTTGATTAGATCACTGCTCTAGATGCTCAAACTCAAGTATGGAAACCTGTCATGAGTCATAGCTATAGAGCTCTTCTCTTTAGGCCCCAGGGAGTGTTCACAGATGACTTAATCAAATTTTGGAAAACATTGACTTAAAAACAAAAAAAATTTCACTAACATTTCTAGCTTTGATAAATAGAAACATTAAACCAATTTGACTACCACCCCTGCTCTTTTCCAAATCTCTCTTGCTGCTTCAGTGGACACATCTACATGTGAAATTAATTTGACTGAATAAATTTCAGTGTTGACAAGCACTATCCTATGGAGGCATGTATTAGTCTACCATGGCCTAATAGGGCTGCATGTGTAAATGCTGAGACTTAACTGAGGAGCTAATTAGGCAACAGTAAACATCATGTGTAGCTTCACCTAGTGACACTTTTGCACACAGCCACAGCCAGCTAAAACAATTTAACAATAGCCTGGTTCTGTGTAGCTACTAGAGGGGGTTCTAAACCTGGGGTGTTCGGTATGAAGAGAACACTCCCTTCTGCCAAATTCTCCCTGGTTTTTAAAGGTACTGATCGGCATGGTTCGCACACAGCAACTGGCAGAGTGATTTCACTGGGGAGAATGCATTTACTTACAGAGTCTGGCAGGAAGGGACTGTTCTTGTTTTGAGGGGTGTTCTTGCTATACTTGTCACGGGAGCAGTGGCCACATAAATATAGCAGTCGCTTCATCTCCCTGCCCAGCATAGATTGAAACAGGAAATGACAATAGTGCGAGAAAGGGATAGAAAGTAAGTAGAACATAGAGCCTTTCACCAGAGAAAGGCATGTGTCAGGTTCCCAGAACCTGGCTGTAATGCAACAAACCACCCCAACTGCCTGCATCTGTTGTAGCCCTTACTAATCAAATGGAGTTGGTGCATCAGATCCCACCACACCTAATTATTGGTGGACGGGGCACCTGAGAATGTGATCCGGGGCTCCCCCTGCACTGGCAAGTAGCAAACTCTCATATCTCAGAGACTGACTTATCTGATGGGACTTCCAGTTGCAGAGGCACATGGGACACCCCTGTGCCTGGAGCCCAGATAAGCAGACGGGGCTCCCAGCCATGGGGATGTGTCCCTACACCTGGGAGCCCCATCAGCTGCAGGCTCCAGGCTCAGGGGCACAAGAGGAAAAATGTCTTTCATACAAGCAATAGATTGTCTAACTGGAGGTTAGTTCTCTTTTGGAGGACAAAGTGAGCAAAGATGATGAAAACTTTTATTGGAAGAGGATGGATTCTTTTGTAGTTTAAAGAAGTTTCATAACCAGTGTGACAAACTGTCTGGGTAACCCTAGAAGCCCCAAACCTCAAGCTACAATCAGCTGATGGGGCTCCCAGCCACAGGGGAGCCTCTGGCCACATCATTAATGGCATGATAGGAACCAACATGTCATGCTGGGTCATAGGTGACCAGGTCTGGAGGGTTGCCTCAGGGTCAGGAGAAACAACAGAAGTCTGAGGGAAGCATGTCAAGTCAGAGCATAGGGAAGCTAGAAGCCAGGAGAGATTCATTTGGGGAACCAAGTCAGAGATCCAGAGGGTGAGGCAGAGCACCGAGTCAGGAGGCTAGCCAGGACAGGTGTCCAGGAGATGAAACCAGAACTTGGTCAGGTATCCAAAGGGTCAGTCCAGACTCAGGGTCTGTTGACACTCTGGGTCAGGTATCTGGAGAGTTTTGTCAGGAAGCCAGTAGCAGCACAAGCTAAGAGTACAGCAGCCTAGGTACATGGCTGAACCTTCTTGCCTGGGTCGGGTTTATATTGAAACAGGTGAAGGGTCAGCTAAC